TAACAAGCTGCTTAGCTAATACTGATTCAGAAGGGAAGTGGGGCACATAGCAAGGGTGCATGGCTGACATCGTTAACCTTGGCTTAACTCTGACTTCTAAAACAGGAATATTTTGGGGAAGGCATGGGTACAGGTGTTCTGGTCACCCATCCAGTGCCTGATGCATACTGTGTGTGGACCAGGTGGTACAAATTACAGTGTCATCTCAAGTTTCCATTTATGCCTTAGGAAGGTGTGCAGGTCTGGCCATTGTGACTTTATGTTAGGGTCTTGCCTTCTTCACATGTGCCTCCGGCTGCAGTTCTGATGGGTTCTCATCTTCTGCACTGACTTCCTTGAGTGTGCGCCCCTGTCTGACTGCCTACTGATTTCTACCTAACTTAGCTGTCTGTAATGTTTCTTCTCTCTGAAGAGCTATCCCTAACTGCTTTAGGGGAGAATAGGTGTAGTTTTAATCTTAACTACTTTGAGCTGAGAAAGTGTAGCGGAGACCGAAGTCGGGGGCCTTGCTAATCTAAGGAGCCCTGGATAGCAGTCACGTTGCGGTTTGGCAGTTTTGAACACTTCACAAGATCGGTCTGGTGGATCCCAGTAAAAAGAGTCTGGTACGTTTGCCCTTGGTTCCATCTGTGTGGTCACTTGGGGTTTGGCAGCCTCTGTGCAAGAATAACAAACTTTTTCAAGAGCGTACGTGTACATGACTAAAATACGAGCACTGGGATGGAAAGGCATACTGGGAAAAGAGCCATGTCGAGACCCTGCTCGTAAGGGACTGGAGTGGCAATTGTGACCAAGGGCTCCTAGGCCTCTCTGCTGATGGAGGTCATCCTTAAATCCGGTATTTCTTTACCACAAGTCCCTCCAGTTTGGGCTGTTAGAAGATGGAGAGGTCGATGGTTTTGAAGGACAATTTTAGTTAAGGAATTGTGGAAAATATTTTTACAACATATTTTAGACATACCTTTTTCAAAAAAAGGAAGCCAGGAAGAATATACACAATGCTATTAGCAATGGCCGTGTTTGGGGGAGTGGTTTCCCTGGGAGGGAAGGGGATGTCGCCACGCGTGAGGCTTACTGCGGCACCCTTGTGGGTCCACACCCAGAGTAGGGAGGGAAGTAGAACCAAGGGGTCAGGGGAAGAAGTTCAGCAGTGCAGATCCCCTCCACATACCGGGAACCAAACTCAGGACCTTGCGCTTGCTAGGCAGGTGCTGTGCCGCTGAGCTAAGTCCCCAGCCCCAGCAGTGCAGTCTTCATGGACCTCCTTAGTCCTGCGGGGGCTCTGAGGATGGAGTACCCTTTCGGAGATGTCTGGAGTTGCAAGAGGCTTTATCAGCCCTCAGCCAGTGGTTGGGTGGCGACTGTGAAGGCAGTGTGATCATGCTGAGGCAATACGCAAAAGGCCGACAACTCGGGGCTGTTTTCAGTACTTTGGAAGTTGTTCTGACGAGTTCTTTATTCCCAAAGAGGAACGTGAGCAGCCCTTCAGAGTCCACCATGTCGAGGACTTCACTTTCTGTTTTACATTTTTGAAATGGTAACCTATGAGAAAAATGTTTCCTTTTTCAAATACAGAATGTTTATTAAAAGAAAGACTTAAGGCTCACCTACAGAGCTCTTAGCAGCATTTTAATGTCTGCTAGGTGATGCACTCATGAACACATTATGGGAAGCTGTGAAGTTCAGTCCCTAGGTCATGGCTTACACTTTTAATTGTAGTTAAAATGTACTTCTGCGATACCATTATACTTTTGCTGTATAAACAGTTATTATTATTTTTTTTTCTGGTACCAGGAATCGAACTCATGACCTTGCGCTTGCCAGGCAGGCGCTGTGCCGCTGAGCTAAATCCCCAGCCCCCTGTATAAACAGTTACTATGGGCCAATTTTCATTCTTTAAAGTTTTAGGTAGAAAATTGAGAATATAATAAAAGTTTAGTATTTAGTAACAGAAAAGGCTTTCCTTGACTTAGAATAACAAGAATTTGCATGTTGGGTACATTATAAACTGCTCCAGAGGTTGGCTGCCTGTCTTCGTGAGTCCTGAAGTCCTTTTCTGCTCCTAGGCTCAGCTCCAGATGTTCAGGGCTCAGTGGATGTTTGAACTTGCCCCAGGCGTGGGCACTAGCACCATGGAGACGCGGCCTGGCAGAGCAGCAAGAGGCGCTCTGCTGAAAGCAGCCGCAGACGCCAAAGGAAAGCAAGAACTGGCAAAAGAGGAAAAGTTAAGTACTAAAGACATTCTAACACATTTCCTTTTATTCTTTTTTATTCTGGAGGGAGGGGGCAGCAGAATTTTCAATAGTGTAAGGACGTGGTCATACCCTGGAGCCATAAACATGTAATTTGTAAAATAAAAGTATTTTTCCTTCTGTGGAAAACTTGATTACTGTACCAATTTATACGTCCTCACTACCTCTAGGTGCTTTGAGTAATACCCAGAGCTCCCTTCTCTGCAGATGAAAACTGTCCTCAAGGAGCTGCCTTTTACTAACTTAGGATTCATGTGATCTCTAAAAGATTGATGCCTCTGGAGTTTTAGCAGGAGCCCAAATGAGGCTTACTCTACTGTGTACCTTTGCAGAAGTTGTCTTCGGTTCACGCAGTGTTTTGTATTAATCATGTCCTATTGTCGAAGTTTTGCAAGTGCTCAGAGTGAAAACGTTTTGAACGCTGTCCAGGCGCTCGCTTCTGTCCTGGCTCCTGTTCATACCGAGAACATTATTTTGCTTTGCATTATCTTCCTCTTCCCTGGAGGCTATGTCATCTTCACACCATGTGATCCACGTTTCTTTTTACACTTAGCAATTAACCAACTAACATTGCCATGGTGACCAAAGCCTTGCAGACCTGTTTTATTATAATTCTTATTTTAAAATCATTGCAGCCTTACAGGTAGAAATTCTGTAAATCCTTCAGTTAGCCTCCTCCCATGGTGACATCTTGGATAACAGTAATACCATATCAAAGAGTGGGAAATGAACCCTGATTTAATCCACAGAGCTTGCGTAGATTTCCTGGGTTTAAAAGCATTTATTTATATATCTGCAGTTATATGACATGGTGTCTTAGTTACTTTCTCATTGCTGAGACACAACACCCATCACCTACAAATTAAAGGATGACTCACTATTTGTAGATATTTCAGCCTATAGTCAGCTGACTCAAGGAGTGGCAGGCAGGAGGCAGAGAAAACAACGGGGAGGAAAGAGGGAGACGTACCCTTGCAGGCCACACCCCCAGTGTCCTGCCTCCCCACATGACATTTAGCTGTGAACTCATCAGTGGACTGACCCATTGGTGGGCATCACACCCCCAGGAGCTAATCGCCTCCCAGAGCCCCACCTGTGAGCAAATGAAGCTTCGTAAGACATCTAGATATAAACCATAGCACACGGGTAGCTTTGTGTCACCACTACCACAATCGTGATGCAGAATTTGTCAGCTTAAATGACGATAAAGAGTGGCTCTTAAAAAAAAAGATTTGATTGTAGAATGAGCAGATTGCAGTCTGGACTGTGTGTGCTACAAAAGGTAAATTGTAGGCATATTTGAGGAGGCAAGAGAGACAAGGGTTTTTAAAGGTAAAAATGAGCAAGGTTACAAAAGTTGTTTTGAAACAGTTACCCTTGGCTACAAGGATGAGTAGCAAGAGTGGCACCAGCCCAAGGTTGAATAAGCAATTAACTGCTAGGCAGATGTTGTTGCAGACGTAGTTCCTGTGTGAAGTTGCTACAGCTTTTGGGCAAGTGTGTGGTTTACAATCTCTTGTGGTAGATTGTTTGTTTGTTTGTTTTTGAGACAAGTTCTCACTATGCAGTTCAGGTTGGCCTTGAGCCCACTTAGTAGACCAGGCTGGTCTTGAGCTCACAATGATCCTCCTGCCTCAGCCTCCCAAGTGCTGGGATTACAGGCGTGTACCACCACGCCCAGCTCTTATGGTTCTTGCTATCAGGTACATTGTACATGGGGCCATCCCTTCATGATCCCTCAGCTGCATTTGCTAGTGGAGGTATCTGTGTCTTTAGGGTCTGGCCACTTTCACATACTGTTTCATCACCACAAGGATCCCTCCTCTTTATAGTTACACTTGCCCTTCCCTGCCTGTCTTAGTTTTCTCATTACTGAGACAAAATACCCAACACCTGAAATTAAAGTAGGAAAGGTCTATTTTGGGGCTCACAGTTTGTAGAGGTTTCATTTCATAGTTGGCTGGCTCCAAGGCAGGGTGGCATGGCAGAGGGGCATCGCAGAGGAGAAATAATTCATGGCTGGCAAAAAGCAGCAAGCAACGAACAACAGCAGCCCTTTTCCTGTCTCTTATATTTTATCCAGGCTATTCACCCTTACGACAGACAACACACCCTTAATCATAGCATCATACTGTGAATCAGTCCTAGCATCACATCCTTGATCCCAGCATCTCACACCCTAAATCCTGCCAACTCCAAAAAGCCCCACCTATGACCTGAGGTTTTAGGGGAACATCTAAATACAAGCCATAATACTAGCCATTCCTAACCACTGGCAAACACCACTAATCTGTTTTCCATTTTATAAGTTTTGCATTAGAAGAATGTTCGATAAATAGTATCATACAATATATAGCCTTTAGAGATTGGCCGTTTTCACTCGGTGTAATTGCCTTGCGATCTGTCCAAGTTGTATGCCAGTAGTCTGCTCTTATCTGTTTCAAGATAGTACTGTGTGGCGTAGATATTCCCAGATTTTTAGACTAGACACTGGTTGAAAAATAGTTGAGTTTTCCAGTTTTTGGCCACTGTAAATAAAATTGCTATGAATATGTGTGTTTAGGTTTTTCCGTAACATAAACTTTCATTTCTCTGGGATGAATGCCCAAGAGTGTAATTGCTGAGTTTTGGTAAGTACATGTTTGGCTTTAAAAGAAGCTGCCAGACTTTTCCAGAGTATCTCTGCCATGTGTTCACTACTAACGTGTGAGTGATCCAGTTTCCGTGTGTCCTCGTCGGCATAGTGTCCTTACTTTATAGCTGGCCACTGTGGTAAGTAGATGGTGATAGCTGGTTGTGATTTTAGTTTGTATTTCCCTAATGACTAACGATATCTTCTCAGGTTGTTATTTCCCACCCATATCTCCTTGGTGAAATAGCTGTGCTTTTTCTAGATGAACTGTTTATGGTTTTACTGTTTTATCTTTGAGATTTCTCAATGTGCTGTATTTGAGATGCAAGCCCATTGTTGACTATGTGAGCTGTAAATATTTTCTCCCAGTTTGTAGCTTATTTTTTCATCCCTGTACCCAGGGTACTTCGCAAAGATTTTTTGATGAGGCTCGATTCATAAACTTTCCCTTTTATGCATTGTTTTTCATATCATGTGTAGGAACTCTTTGTTTAGTCCTAGGTTGCCAAAGTTTTCTTTTTGTTTTTCCTGTTCTTTTTTTTTGGTACCAGGAATCAAACTCAGGACCTTGCGGTTGCCAGGCAGGGGTTCTGCCACCTAACTGTACACCTGACCCCTCTTTTCATTTTCTCTAAAAGCTTTATAGGTTTTACATTTAAGTCTCTGATCCATTTCCAGTCAATTTTTATGTAAGGTATGGGTTTAAAGTGAAATGCTTCATTTTGTCCTCAGTGTCCAACTGCTCTAGCATTTTTCCTGAAAAAGCCCTCCTGCCATCGGTATTTTATTTTTAATACATATTTTCAAACATTGTTTTTCACTTTTTATCTGTATAGGCTCGAGAGCTCTTCCTGAAGGCAGTAGAGGAAGAACAGAATGGAGCTCTTTACGAAGGTGAGCCTCAGCCCAGGGCCATGCGGCTGTGGCGGGTCTCGGTGACAAGTCTCTGGCACCGATCTTTTTTTCTTTTTTACTAGAAGTTATTTGATAGAGAGCATCAGTCTCCCTATATTCAAAATTGTTTTTTAGGTAAAAAATAAAATTTATATTTTATATGGCTTGTGTCTTTCCGAAAAATATTACTGGGAAACATCACAGCGATAGAACGAGTAAAATAAATATTTTTCTACATTTAACTTTAGTATTTGTTAATACTTCATTAGTGCATTTATTTTAACATAAGATATGCTCCTTTCACAGGTGAAAACTACTTCAGGGGAGGGAAATACAAAGGATAAATCAAGGAACATGTAGCTGTTAAGTTCTAATTTCATTTTATTAAAGGAGCAAGCTTTGGCTTTAATTGTTTCATTAGCCCGATAGGAGTGCATACTAAAACAGACTGTTTACCATATTAGCTTTGTAATTGTGCTTTTGTTTTTTTTTAACAATAAAGGGAATAATTGGGGCACATGACAAAAGCTTGTGCTTAAATTACTTGAAAATGCCCCCAGAATAATATCACTTACAGTTACTGCATTTATTTGCAAGTTTCTTCTAGTCATGTTCCTACATAGATTTTCAGTCCCTATGCAGTCTTCATTAGCTTGTAAGATTCCAGCTCAGTACTTAATGGGTGATAACTCACGCAGGATAACAGAACGCGGTAGGATGTATCGAAGTGAACAGACCCTATCCAGGGGCAAAGAGCTCATTGGGTTCCACTGGCTTTTCTCTGTGAAGGGAGAGCTCTAACCACCAGGCCAGGAGGAATTTGTTTAAAAACAAGCTTTAAAGGTTATTTAACTAAACACACAGCTGAGCTGAAGGAAGTTGGATTTGAAGAGTAAATTCAGAGAACTCTTTTCTGTGCTCTATCCAGTAGGAAGCATTTGAATTTCTTCAACTTCATCATTAAAAAAAAAAAAATCCTTTCTTCTTAGAAGTGTTTCTGTTGGGCCGTAGAGTTGTGTAAAATAAATTCCGATGAGACATGAGAGGGTGAGAAGAACATGGGAAGGATAGGAAGGTAACAGTAAAATACATCTTAAATTCCCATCATACATTAACCTGAAAGGTTACTTTCTGAGCTGTAGAGTTTGGGTATGAGTTTGTTCAGTGAACAGCTGTTGTATATAGAAAATGAATTTGGCTATTTGAAAAGAAAGTTACCAAATTACAGTGTAGCTAAGAGTAATCAGAGGAAATGACAAAAATGTGTGGTCATGGCTAACTTAGCTTTGTGTCTTCCCGTAGCCATCAAGTTTTATCGTAGGGCTATGCAGCTCGTACCGGATATAGAGTTCAAGATCACGTACACCCGGTCTCCAGAAGGCGATGGCATTGGAAGCAGCTAGTGAGTATGCACATCGGTAGAGTACTTACTGCTCTGCTGTGCTAGCACTTAGCAGAAGAGCGCAGTGCTCACACCGTGGTGCTCTGGTGTGTTCTTCGTAAAATTACAGTACTTTTGCCATTAGGGACATTAAGGTTAAAATACAGAAATGTACATTTTCAAATAGATACAACAAAAAATGCTTAAAAATGAAATAAGTAGTGAAAAATGAAAATTAAATGTATTTAGAGTACTAGAATGTAAGTACTGCCAAGCATGGTGGCGCACGTGTGTAATCCCAGTACTCACACTCCGGAGGCTGAGGCAGGAGGATCGTTGCAAGTTCGAGACTAGCCTGGGCTACAAAATGAGTTTAAGGCCAGCCTAAGTTGCATAGCGAGACCCTGTCTCAAAAAGACAAAAAAAAAAAAAAATGTAAGTACTGAAATGTTAATGATGGTTGACACTGGGTAACCAGTACATGAGGTTTCACTATACTAGTCTCTCCCCATTTTTTTTTTTTAAGATTAATACATGGTAGGGGCTGGGGATTTAGCTCAGTGGCAAAATGCCTGCCTGGCAAGC